CATGGGCCCAACAGATTCCCAGGCATACCAGGTGGATGAGAGAGCTGAGCGTGGGACCGGAAGGCAGCCAAACCCGAGAACGGAGCAAAATCTCGAAGAGAGAACTTAGAGATGCAGAAACATGATTGCAGTTGGGTTAAGGGACGTGGGACATAACGGGCCTTTGGCTGGGTAGCGGCCTGCTGCTCAGATGCTAGAGGCGGGAGGCTGAGACGTCGCCCCTTCTCCGATGTATCTTTTGGCGTTGGGGTTTTGGCTACAGCCGAGAGTGGAGCCTCGTGTATCTGTTCGTATCCAGGGATTCGCAAGGGCCCTAGGAGAAAAGATGTTGGCATTGCAGCCTCTTTTTCTGGACTTTCAAAATAATGAAGGTTTGTGTGATGAACTCCGTAGGCTTGGCTGAGGCCAGATCATAGGACAGGGAATTTGGGGGGACTGGGGTTGCCCACAAGGAAACGCTTCACCAAAGAAGGGGTGCGAGAGAAATAGGACTAATGTAGGGCATCTTGGAGGGCGGGAGACAAGGCTACGTGTGTGGACTAGAACTGGGCCATCAAGAGCTGTCCCGCGGGGCGTCCCAACTGGAGATATCACCCCTCATTCCTTGAGGGACACCAAGGCTGGACGAACTGGGACGACCTATCCGGGCAGCTATAGGGACAGCAAGCTGGGTTCTGGGAGCAGCGGGAATGGTGACTCAATCAGCCCATGCCGCTGGAGACTGGCCATGACCTTGGCACCCTGTCAGACACACCTGCAGGTCGGAGGCAGCTGGGATGGGTCAGGGTGGTTCAGAGCTCGGGGGTCCTCAGGGCGAACGCTTGGTGATGTCTGTGCTCCTTCTTTTCCAGCATGTACTCACACTCACACACACCCACTCACACATACTCACACACACACACTCACACACACACACTCACACATACACACACTCTCACACTCCCACACACACTCACACACACACACTCACTCACACACACTCGCACACACTCACACTCAGACACACAAACACACTCACACACACACACTCACACTCACACTCACACACACCCACTCACACTCACACTCACACACACTCGCACACACTCACACTCAGACACACAAACACACTCACACACACACACTCACACTCACACTCACACACACCCACTCACACTCACACTCACACACACTCGCACACACTCACACTCACACACACACACACACTCACACACACACACTCACTCACACACACTCTCTCTCACACACACACACACTCACACACACTGTCACACGCACACACTCTCTCTCACACACACACTCACACACACACGCACACACACACTCACACACACACATGCACACACACTCACGCACACACTCTCACACACACACTCACGCACACTCTCACACACACACACTCTCTCTCACACACACACACACTCACACACTCTCTCTCACACACACTCACACACAGTCACACACATACTCTCACACACACTCACATACACACACTCACACACTCTCTCACACAGTCACACTCACACACTCTCACACACACACTCACACACACTCTCTCACACACTCTCTCTCACACAGTCACACTCACACACACACATACACTCACACACACACTCACACAGGTCTGGGGAGGACAACCCGGGTAGTAACCAAACTCCGATTTGGCAGGTGGGACTCCAAATTCGGTTATTAAAGGAAATGACCGTCACTGTGCGGTCAGGGGTTGGAGGTCAAGCATCCGGGAGACACACATTTTGAAGGATACAAGGTGGCACCAGATTGAACTTCTTTTGATTACACTTCTTTTAACGCCAGATCAAGCTTCTCCCCAATGGAAGATCCTGCTCGGTTTTGTCAGCTCTTATCTTTCATGAATATTCAATTCTTAAAGACGTAGGACAGGGAAGTGGGTGGGGGCCTATTTTTAAAAGGCACCCCTTTCTGGGAGGGGGTGCAGCTGTCTCCTAGTTTCGAAGAGCGGAGTTGAGGCTGGATTTCAGCCCTCCGTTCCTTTCTCGGATGTGTGCCCCAGCACCACCTTACATTTTAAAAAAGAATGTTCTAGAACACAAGCGCCATTGACCTATCATGACATTATTAGAGCAGAAGAATTGGTGAACACTTACGATACGCCAGGTACTAATCTAAGCCCTCTGTTTATTTGCTGGGAACCCTTTGATCCTCACGCCAGCTTTTTTTTCAGATGAGGAAACACTTTGCCAAGCTGACCCAGGAACTGCGGAGCCGAGTTGGCTCTCTTAACCCCTGCTGTCCTGCTAGACCTGGAAAGATTCACTGCAGCAACATGAGGCAGCGGGTCAGAGGAAGGCCCGAAGGGAAAGAACTGTGAGAAAATTCAGCACGGCAAGGAGAAAAGGAAGTAGAGGACAGCCACGCACAAATTCGGTAACCATCGCTTGCCATGCAGTCCCATTCGCCGGCGAGAAGCCACGCGCATAGTTAGCTCTGAGGGTTTTTGTAACCAACAGGAAGAGGGAAATCACAATTATTTTCAAGATTCCCAGTGTCTCTAAGGTATAAAGTTCAAATATCGGGAGAAATGCACTATCTGTGGAATTGTCTCCAGTTGGTCTTTGAAGAGTCACTTACCTAAGGTCTCACAGCTGCTCAGCCAGAATTTAAACCCCAACCATATGGCACCAGGACTCACATTCTCAGACACGGCCGCACATCGCCTCTGGACTTGGATCGGGTACTCTTAATAAATGTTTGTTGAATGGATAAGTGACCGGCCCGTGGAATGAGAACAGTAGCCAAGGAGTGTCTGGAGCCATGGGGCTGCAGCTTGATGCTGTGACGGCCATGCTTACGTAACTGTCGTTTATAACTTAAGTGTTCCTGCCTCGGGGCCTGCGGCATGAACAACCATAACACACTCCGGAACACCAGAGTAACTTCTAAGTGCTGACTTCTAAAACTAACTAACTTCTAAAACTAACTTCTAAAACCTAACTTCTTTCTTTACTCAGAAAAGCAGCACAAATGGCCATTGTGTGTCTCCCTTTTCTTCTGCAGAACCGAAGAATTTGCTTGGACTCGGCCTGATATGAATGGAATTTCACCTACTCACAGGAGTTTCGCAAACACTCGATCATATTCATATTCTCTCTCTCCCCACCTCCCTCCCCCCACCCAAGACTGAGATGAACGGAAGGTTTGAAATCAGATAGCGGGCTGCTCTTAGAGATGTAGAGAGGGAATATTATTCTAAATATAAAACTGCTTATAAAATCCTTACAGCAATTGTAAAAAAAAAAAAAGGAAACATTAACAGCTCAATCCCAGTTCAGTTTACATTTCATTAAACAAAAATCTTTCAAACGTGATAATCACTCGAAGAAGCCCTTACTCAACAGAGTTGAGCAGAATCAAACCTTCAGCAAATAGGAAGGAAGCAGATGGCTTCGAATCCATGAAAACCCCCCGAGCTCCATAATCGGGCTTATTTTTGTACCAAACGGTGTCTGAACTCCGGGTAGCGCCTCTTAAACGGAATGCCTGAAGCCAGCACGTGCTGACACGCCGCAGTCTGGCTCCGTCTTCGGCGCTTCGCACACCTTCATACCTTGGGGGCCCACAACCCTGGGGTTCAGGTCCCTGTTTTCCAGTAAGAACATAGGCTTAGAGAGAGAGAGAAAGGAGCTTGCTGGAGGTTACAAGTGACCAGGCACCCCCTCGAGAACAGCCCCCAGATTTCAAACCTGGGCCTTCTGCACTCACACTCCGCTGCCTGACCTCTGACCTCCACTGAAGACATGAACCCCGCCCCACAGAGAGGTTGGAGAGCTATAAAGGCAAAAGGGATGCCAGGTGCCAGCGGAGCCCGGCTCCACATCTTCCCATAAACCTGCTTTCTCTACTGGTGAGGACGAAGGAAGGTAAATTCGTAGTCTGCTGTGTGAAGCACCATCATATCACACCCTCCTGAGGCTTCCCAGGCCGGTTTCCAGTTCTTTCCTCCACCTGCTGCATGGCTGAGCAACTTTTGACTGGTCGATTCATCAGGAGGCCCCGCCCCCATCCTGCAGACGTCGGGGACTAAGATGCAGAGGCAGAGGCACATCCGCGCTCCGAGAGGTCTTGCCTCCCGCTAACCGTGCCAACTATATCGGAGCATCTAGATAGGCAAAGGTGGAGTCGGGGACGTGAATCCTCCCCAGGACAGCAGAATACAGTCAGTGGAGACCACTGCAAAATATAAACTGAGAAACAGAGGTAGAAGCAGATTCTGTGGCCAGAATGAACAGCTAGAAGAGTCAGCAGTGGTTATCCCTAGGGAGGGCCAACTCAGTGGGACGCATGTCACTTTTCATCTCAAGAATCTCTGCTTGCAAGTTTTGCCACGTCCACGCAGTTGATAAAAATTTAGCGAAAAACACCAACAGGGGGAAACAAAACCATGTCCTCTCTATCCATTCCATTCTTTTCCCTCCGGTTAGACACTTTTTCAATATTTCCAAATACAGGGGCCGCCTGGAAAGTCGAGACTGGGAGTGACAAGCTCAAGCGTCACTCAGCGTTTCCAGTGTCCTCTTCTGTCCCTCGGTGGCTTTATCTTGACGCAGTTCGTTTTCACAATCAGATCGTGGGTTCCTGAGGACACCTCTCTGGCTCACTTCCAATGGCTTGCACAAGAACCTGGCACAGGTGGATGGATGCTCAAGGAATATTTGCTTTATCAACACAGACCTTATTGTCCCTCCGGAGAGCAGTTTCGCTCAGCCAACTGTGTCCCAGACCTCGAAAGCCAGCACAGAGACGCTCTCTTTAGTATCATTTTAAAGCAAAATGCCCAGTGACCATTTAGATTTTCAATACACATTTAAGAAAGAGCTACCAGAAAATGCTATCGGAGATGGCCCTTGACTTAAACGTAAGGTTTTTAACCTTAAGCGTATCTTCCACTTCACTCATTCACTCATCAATTTGTCCTTGGCAGATCCTATTACGTGCAAAGTATATAAATGTGTGTAATTTTGTAAATCACGCTCCTGTCCTCCACAAGTTTATAAACTGCCCTGAAATGTGGAAGTTAATGTCATTACGTAAATACAGAATTTATGCTGTAGAAAAATCCGTGGAGAGTATGCAGGCGCCTCCGCCTTGATAAAATTCATGGGCTTGCGGAAACTTAGCTGGAAGTCGAATGTTTCTGTTTGTCAGATAAATCACATTCCCCCATTGCTTACTGCTGCCATCGCCGAGATTTCTCTCCCGCATTTCTGATTGATGCTGAGTCAACGACAGCTCCTGGGATTCCAGCTCTAAGTTCCCTGCCAGCCCCAAGCTCTCCTTTTGCAGTTAACAATCTGTGAACAATGTGTCTTTCAGGAAGGAATCTTTGCGAAGGCCAGAGGGCCTCTGAGAAAGAAGATGGTCACTGGCCACAGGTCTGTTTGGTGTTAAGGAAGCGCTGAAGCCCCTGGCTTTGGAGCAGGCCATCGGGACCGGCGGATTCTCAGGCTATTTCGAGTTTCCCAGGAGCCAGGTTAGGATGGTGGGGGAAGAACAGGCAGAGGCTAAATGATCTGTGAACCCTAAAGACTCTATCATTCGAGAGAGAGTTATTGAGGACTTGCTCAGCCCTTTGGAAAACTCCACGGCTGACCTTCCTTTCCGGGTCATTTCTGGGAAGTGAACTCTGCTGTTGAAAGTCTAGCTTCAGGGAGACACGTGAACATGTCGTTAGAACGGCTGCGTCCTGATCTGTGATTGAAGGAAGCGTAATACTCAGGAGCAGCTCACAAGACAGAATGAACGATTCTGTTTGTGTAGGCTGGGAAAAGCGCGGGTGATGAGGGCTGCCCGGGGGGTTGACGGATGGGTAGAAGTTTGTCAGGTACATAAGGTGGAAGAAGATTCTAAACAGACTGTAAAAATGAAGATGTTTGTTATCACATGGAGTTTTAAGGAATATGTATTGTCAATCACCAGATCTACACATATACCTGCCTCTGAGTCCATTTTATTTTATTTTTAATTCTCCTTCTAAGGTGGAGCAAGTAACTCTTAGGAAAAACTGACATTTTTCTGATAGTGAGTTTTTCATCATTAATATGGTATAGCTATCCACTCATTTCGATTTTATTGTCTTTTAGTAAATTTTTTTTTTCCCCATAACGACCTTACACATGCTTAGATAACTTCTGTTTTGAGTTGTTGTTGCTGCTATTGTTGTTATAGATGTTAACTTTAAAAATTATTATTTCTATTTGGGCTGCATAGAAAAAATGCAATGGACTTTTATATATCGATCTTATATCGAGCTCCCTTGCTAAATTGTCTTCATTCCAGTGATTAGAAAATGAGGTTCAATTTCCCATGTAGACGACCACGTCATCTATAAATAATGACCGATTTGTTTCTTCCTTTAATATTCACGTACCTTCTATTCATTCTTCTCGTTTAGTTTCACTGATTATGACCTCCAGGGAATTATATGATATGAGCAGGCATCTTTGTCTTATTCCTGATTGTAAAGGGTCCTATTTATTCCCACGTCCACACTCATTGTCCTGAAACCACCCTTGTTAAGGCCACCAATGACTTCTCCATTACTGAATTCAAAACACGATTTAAAACACTTTTTTTTTGTTTGTTTTTTACCTCAGTTGCACTGACGTTATTGATCACCTCTCTTCTCGAAACGCTGCCTTCTTTAGGCTCCCCAAACACCCCACCCTCCTGCCATGGTCTCTGCGTGCCCCTTCTCAGACAGTCTTTTCTTAATATCTGTCTGTCCTCTGGGGTTGAATCTCCCCTGGGCCTCTTCCCTCAATATACTCTTTATTGACGTCATCCATTCCGTGCCTGTAGATGCCATCTGAATGACACACGCACGCACGCACACGCCCGCCAACTTGGCGTTTTGCTTTGAGGTCACATATGCGCCTCAAACTTAACACGTTCAACACTCAACTCTTCATCCCCCCTACTCTGATGTAATCCTCCTGTGGTCTTCCCATCTCAGTGAACGGCACCTTCGGCCACTCAGTCACTTGGAACAGAAACCGGGCGTCATCTGCTCCCTCTTCCATCCCCCACCCCCAACCTCTAACTAGGTTATTTATTCTTGCTCCCAGAAACACAGTGGTCCCCCCTTATCTGTCGTTTCACTTTGCATAGTTTCAGTTGCCCACGGGCAACTGTGGTCCAAAAATATTCAATGGAAAATTGTAGAAAGAAACAATTCACGCATTTTAAATCGCACGCCATTCTGAGTCGCGTGATGAAATCTCATGCCGTCCTGCTCCGTCCTGCCTGGGACGCGAATCGTCCTTCTGTCCCCTGTACCTGCACTGTGTACGCTACCCGCCTATTAGTCACTCAGCAGCCATCTCAGGTATCGGATCGACTGTCGTGGTGTCATAGTGCTTCTGTTCAAGTGACCCTTATTTGACCGAATAATGACCTCGAAGTGCAAGGGTCATGATGCTGGCAATTCAGATGTACCCAACCGAAGCCGCGAAGTGCGCCCTCTCAGAGAAAGGTGCGTAGGGTGCAGTGAGAAACGACTGTGAGAGCGGGGCCAGCTTCGCATAACTCGTGTCCAGCACATTGTTATCACTGTTCTATTTTATTATTAGTTATTGCCGTTAATCTCTTACTGTGCTTCATCTATAAATTAAACTTTATCATAGGTACGTATAGGCATGTCTATCAGATTCAAATCTTTCCACGGTTTCGGGCGTCCACCAGGGGCCTTGGATGCATCTCCCGTGGACAAGGGGCGCAGCCGTATCTCTAATTCCTTTTCTTCTTCATATCTTTTTAGTCTAAGCACCGTCCCTTCTTGCCGGACACACAGCGACAGTCTTCCGACTGGTGTCCTTAAACTCTTGTTCCATTACAATCCCTTTGGCAAAGCAGTTAAAATGATATTTTAGAAATACAAAGAAGATCATGTTACTTTTTACTGTCCCTTCCGCGACCTCTCATCGCACTATGCAAAAAATCCAAAACCTTGGCGTGGCCTGCAGCGATCTGAATGCTATGACGCCTTTCTACTCCCGCCTTATCGTGTGCTGCTAATCTCTTCACTCACTGCCCTCCGGCCACTTGGATGTCCTTGGAGTGCTCTGAGAGGCCTAGTTTTCCCTGCCTAAGAGCTTTTCACCAAACACTGCAAGAGGGCAGGGACTGTATCTTTCTTAGTCTCAGTTACATACCCAGATCCAATAGTCAATAGTCAATAAATATTTAGTACATAAATGAATTTGTGAGTGATGTTTGCTTTATTTAGCATGTTCTTTCCTCGCTTATTACCTCTGGTTAAATCTCAGTTATATTTTAGGTCTCATATCATTTCCTGAAAGGAGTCTTCTGATGGCCACCCCTCCCCGTACCTTCTTTAGGCACTGGGCCTCACTGCCTGGCCACAGGGGCAGACACTGACCCGGCACCCCATTCCCCTGGTGTGGGGTGTGGGGTGTAGGTCCTCTCCTTAGATCTTCCTACCTGGTGGGAGTGGTCGAAAAGATTCTCTCTTCCTTGGGTCTGAGAGCTCCTGGGCTGTCAGTTGCGTTCCCTGCTGGGCGGAGAAGCTTGCCTGGAGCAGGAGAGAATGCGGCCATCTGGGAGACAGGCGGGGAAGCAGAAGGAAGGCAGAGAGGGCTGGGGTGGCGTGCCAGCCTCCAGACCCCGTCCCCCACCCTTGGTGCCTCCTCCAAGCCTGGGATGCCCGCCCTTCCCAGCGTATGAGTTACCACAATATCTTTTCAACCAATTCTTCCTTTTCTGCTTCAACTACTTCAGATGGGGTTTCTGTTATTAGCCATCGAAAGATTCCTGACAAAGTAACATTCCTTGACCTCCGAATCTAAAATTGGTCCTCCCGTTATACTCCTGAAAACACCGGGTGCTTTTCCTCGTAACGCTCATCAGAATTTATAAGTAGGCATTAATTTGTATGTTGATTGGTTTAATGTCTGTCTCCCCATAGATGACAGAAACCATGTTTACTTTGCACACTGCTTTGTATACAGCATGCAGTGTGGTGCTTTACACATAGCGAGCACTCAGTAAACAGTGTTTGAATTAATGACTAAGTAAATGATCCTGTGGTTGACTAGATATGAAGATGGACCAGTAAGGGAGGAGGCTTTGCATGATTCTATATTTTCTGGCTTTGCCAAGAAGGTGGAGGATGACATCGTCGGCTCACACTGGGAATGTATTAGGAGGGGTCAGTGTAAGGGAGGAAGAATATGAATTAGGTTTTGGACATGAATTTGGGGTGCACACAAACCAATGGTGCAATGGTACAATGGTACTTTCCAGCAAATATGGGGTCTGTCTCAAGCTTAAAAGAAACGACATGTTGGAGATCTGCGTTGGGAGGCTTTAAATAATAGGGAGCATTGGAAGCTTTAAGTCCTCCGGGGAGAGTGAAATGTGGGAGAGACCTGAAGGCTGGGGGGGGGTGGGGGTGTGGAATTGAGGGACAACCTTTCAGGTTGGCCTGGATCCAGAGCTGCCCAGCAGTCCTCAGGGTCAGCTTAATTTCTGGCTTCCAGCTGGGATACAAGAGCCAGTGGCCAAGAAGTTTAGTCCTAGGTTTTGGGGAGTCTCTGGGAAGAAGAAGGTATGAAGCTAAGTCCAGTATCCTTGACCTTTTGGGCACATCAATGGACTCTAGAGCAGCGGTCCTCAACCTTTTTGGCACCAGGGACCAGGGCTCCTATGAGAATCTAATGCCTGATGATCTGAGGTGGAGCTGAGGCGGTGATGCTAGCGCTGGGGAGCGGCTGCAAATACAGATGAAGCTTCGCTCACTCACCCCGCTGCTCACTTCTTGCTGTGCGGCCTGGTTCCTAACAGGCCACGGACCAGACCGGTACTGGTCTGCGGCCTGGAGGTTGGGGACCCCTGCTCTAGAGCACAGCAGAGCTCCCTGCCTACTCATGGCCTCTGTCCGTCTGCTCAGAACCATGCATCCCCGCCCCAGGACTGCCTTAAGGCATCTGACATGTGTAAGGAACTTTTAAAACTTTTCCTTATGTGATCTCATTTAGTCTTAATCTTCTGAGGCATAAACTACTACGCCCATTTCACAGGAGAAGGATCAGGGGTTGAGAAGGTCTAAACAACTTGCCTTAGATCCAACATCTTGGACATGCTCCGACCAGAACTCCAGTTCCATGACCTTCCCTTTCATCACAGATTTGTGCCACGTGGAGAGGGGAAGCAGATCTGTCACCCAGAAGCTATGGGAACAGAAGGTCCAGAGGGCCAAGTCAGCAGCCTGGGCTTTAACTGATTGCCAGCTCTCGCCAAACCTACTTCTCGGAGGAGAGTAAGGCCAGGGTCTGCAAATCCATCTCTCTTTTGTCGGTGCTACCAGCGGATCTATATCATAACTCCTACTGGCCCTGGCTTCCGGGCCGGTTCCCCGACTAGGCCTGCCTTCTCTGTAGCTTTCCAGGCTTCCCTCTGCCCACTGGCAGATCTACACCTCAAGGAGCCTCCTCGGTTCCCCCAGAAAGTCATGGCAAAGTGGCACTCAGCACGCTGAGCTGAGCTACACCCGGATTCTCCTCCCAGTCCTGGGAGTAGAATCATTCATCCAGAGAAGTGAAATTTCTGGAAATATAAAAGCAACAGACCAGAAAACAACAACAAAAAAATCCTCTTAAAAGATAAAACAAATTTTTGGAAAAATGACCGTGACTTCAAGTACGTTTTGGAAGTCTTTGCTGATCTGAAGCCATTTTGTTAATTCGGAGCCATAAAACATATTGTAACTCAGTTTAATCTACAAATTTACCACATCTGGTATATTTGGAGACAAGCGGGCCTGGGGAAAAACAGAAAAAATACAGGAGAGAAAAGGGGATTCCCATATTTCTCCTTGAGTTTTCCGAGAAAACGAAAGTTATTGTCAGGGAAAAAAAAAAAATCCTCTCAGATTTTATTATGATCTAACTCTTACTGTGATCCAGGAAAATATACTCACCAAAGCCATCCCTCCCGGTCAATGCCTACTATATATCTCTATACTGGAAGGAATATCATATTACCCAGGTGCCTTCCTCCTACCAACCCCCAAACACTAGGGCTCAACAGGCCGGGGGCGAGGGCAGCTGTGGGCCTCACTGTTTGTCTAGGGCAACCACACCCAACCCAGTGTGTCTTCCAGAAATGAAGAGAATCGAGTCCTGGACCGGAGTCACCATCTCAGTTTCTAGCTAAGACAATTTCCTAGGAAATCGTTATCACCGTTTTATGGGTTCAACGAATATTTACTAGGTTTCTTCCATGCTGAGAGACAAACTAAAGGTTGAAGTCATAAAGGCAAATGTGTTCTCCCTGGAAGATCTCGAAGCCCAATGGGAGAAGCCAACGAGCAGGCCAGCCATGGGGGAGGTGTGCGCAGGGGGTGCCACCTGCACACGGACCTGGAAGTGAGGTCGGGGCAAGGCCAGGAAGGAGAAGGGTCTGCCTGAGCTGTGCGCCCAAAAGCAATTAGCCAAGCAGAGCGGGCAGAAGGATGCTCACGGTAGAGGGATCGGTGAGTGAAAAAAAGAAATAAGTAAAAAGGGGAGCATCTGGCTCTTTTCTGGGGTTGTAAATGGACGGTAGGACTTGAGCCATCAGAGTGAGGAAGGGAAGAGTCGAGATGAAGCTCGCGATGGAGGGACTGGGTGGTTGGATTTTACCTTATGAATCTGGAGTCAGTAAACATTTTCTGTATAGGGACAAATACAACGGATTTCGTATTTTGTGGGTCATATAGTCTCTGTCACAGTGACTCTGCTACGGTAGCATAAAAATAGCCATAAACAGTATGTAAACAAATGAGCATGCCTATGTTCCAATAAAACTTTATTTACAAGTTTCAGATTGGCTTGTGGGCTAATGTTTGCCAACCCCTGATGTAATCCATAATCACCCAGAAATAGTCTGACCACTCCCCAATTTGCCCAGGACTCCTCCAGTTTTAGCACTGAAAGTCTCATGTCCTGAAAAACCTTCAGGTAAACTGGGACAGTTGGTCGACCTACCTAGGAAGGTTGCTTAAAAATACAGACTCCAAAAAAAAAATAATAGTAAAACTAAAAATACAGACTCCAGGTAAGCTTTGATCTCTAGGGGGAGGAGGATCAAAATCTGCATTTGGGGGTGCTCCAGTTGATGGGGCATCATCTGTAGGCAAGAGAGTGACCCGTTTTGCATGTCAGATGGTTTGCTCTCAAGGCAGGAAAAGTACCCAAGACCCCAGAACAAGGTCAAGAGGACAGTACGAGAGGACAGATTCGGCCCAGCAGCATCACCTGGCCTGAAGCTACACATTAACTGGTTTATACGAGTGGCTTCTCTTTAAGTAACCACTGCCCACTAAGGAGAGAGGAGTCCACAGAATCCAAGTGACAGGACACTTGACCGGACCATGGGAGGGGAGGGACCAGAGGAGCCACCCCTACCCTGCCTCCCCCTAGAGACCACGGCTCACCTGGCTGGCGGCGGGGGAGGGGCACTCACTGTTTGGAGCGGTCGCACCAAATCCATGCTTCTTCTAGAAATAGAGGACTGTGAGTCCTGGACTGGGGTCACAGCTAAGGCACACGCACAGATAAAAAAAATAAGCAGAGGTACAGATAAGCATTTGGGCCCAGATGTCGAGTTCTGCAAGCCTTTCATGGCCACCCCTTATCAGCAACAGCTCTGAAAAGCCAGGCTGAAATTTTCCTTTCTGAAGCCACAGGTGTTTGACTTCTGCTCAGAAATGGCAACTCTTTGGCTTGGGCAAACAAAAAGTTTGCACTGAAAGGACTTATAGTACTCTCTTTACTTTCCTTAATCAGTCCCTTTTTAATGAAACTTCGCAGCCGTGGGGGGATTTTGTGCTTAATCACAAGGCGGGCTTCCCATCTTCTGCACGGCTCACTTCCCAAACAGGTGGGCCTCGTTCTAAGGACGTCAGTTTATGGAAACCCACACTCACAGCACAGATGATCTGAATTACATAAAAATTCTTAACGTTTAAAACAGGTGGTCATTTGCACATGGCAGAATTTGTTTACGAACCATTAAGCCCTTTAACTGTTTGGCTGGCATGCTTCAACTACTGTGAAGTGAAGAGCAATCAGAAATTAAAACAAAATATATTTTAAACCAATAGGGAAATAAGCAGCCATGTAGGATTAGGCAGCAGAGCTTAGTGGTTAAAAGAAACAGTTCTTAAAGTACCTCAGTTGGAAAGGCTGGTTGCGTCTC